TTTTTAGACTATACACATGACTGTAGATGTTACCTTGCTCCCCAGTGCTGTGAGTCCTACCACAGCTCCATAGTGAGAGCACAAAGGTCTGGCTGGGTCCACCAACACTTTCTGTAGGGCAAGCAGCAGCTGTTTCTGTAATCCCTCCACACTCATGCAGCCAGACCTCAGGGAAGGAACAGCACAATGTTAGGCTAAGTAGCATCAGAGACTAAAAATCACATTCATGACATCAGAGACAGGCCCCAAGAAGCTTGATGGCCAAGACTTCTAAGTTTGGGAATTAGGAACATCCTAATCTTGTTGATTTATGCATACAATGTATTTGCTAGCATGGACCAATTATGGTCAGGCTGAGCTGTCAGTCACCATGGTCATGGATGGTGCTCGAGGATGTGGTTTCCATAGCAGTAAGGAAACCTGAGCTATCGGTACTTCTAAACATGTTTCCTGGCTAAGAGGAATGGCCACAAACCAGTGTGAGTTTGTGTTACACAGACTAGTACCTGCATATTTGTGCCAGCAGCCTTGCAGCATAGTCTCTCAGTGCCCAGTGGTCGTTAAGTGGGTTGATGGAGGCTGCCAGTGGCTCCAGGATACAGTACATCACACTGGCCACCAGCTGTTTCAACTGTACGGGTCACAACAATGTGTCAATGGATTTCTATTACAATCCTTTAACTACCAGAATATGCAGCAGATACTACCCAGTATGGAGGTAACTAATCTTTGCACAGTATGCTCTCTAATACATCTACTGCATTACTGCTCCTAACCTCTAAAAACATTACATTGAGTGGCAGGAACAAGAAGCAATAATTGTATTCCACAGTTAATGCACAAGTCTATCACTATATTTGTGATTATTATAACAAATTGTTTGAAAGTTATCTAACAAATGTACAACTGCTTACACATGGCATGGGGACATTTTCATTTTACATGTATTTGTGTTTTATGGCACTATCATTTGTAAAATGCAGATGTTTTTCGGGATGAAGGCAAAGGCACTGACATAAGGTCCCAGGTACAGGTGAGGGTTCTGGATCAGGGCCTGAGCAGTTTGGAGCAGGCGGGTCAGTGCCTCCAGGTCATGGCTGATGGACTTCACCTGGGAGAGAAGAATGGGAAAGGAGTGCAAAATAAAACTTAACAAACCATGTGTGTTGCTATAGTCTTATTATGGTCAAACTCAAAGGAGGGTTGAACATACACATATTATATTGTTTTCCAGCAGCACTTCTAGATGCATACAATTGTAGTTTTTCCATAAACATGCAATGTTACATCAATAAATAACATTATCATTTATCAGTAATAATTTCAGTCTCCAACACCCTGGAGCAGTTATCACAGGGGAGGGACTTCAGGAAATTACAAGTCAGGGCATGAAAACTGCCATTTCTTCCACATAAGTGGAGTTCAGTGTTGTACCTCAGAGTCCTTGTATGGAAAAACATCACACAGAGACAATGTTAAAGGGACTTACTTCTCCCACCAAGTACACAAAGTAGGGCAGCAGGGCTGAGACTCTGGAGTTGGTCCTCAAGTCGGCTAGAGCCGTCTGGAACAGAGAAGACTACTAAACATATCAAGTCAAAATAAGCGTCGCTTGTACAGGAATCTCTAACCTCTGAGGCAAGAAATACAGATTTTTGTTCATTTAGATTATAATTGTAATTTGTAGAAATTAAAGGCATATCGTGAGGGTACTCCAAACATATGACAGTGCTACATTCTTGTTCAAACCTTTGTACAACCTGAGCCATGAGTCACCTTAATGAGCTGTTCATTTCCACCCAGGATGGCCCGTGTGACCTGGTCGTAGTACTGCACCAGTTCCTCAGACAAGGCTGGGGAGCTTCCTGCAATGGCAGAATCCAGCATCAGAATATGGAGCTTTTTAACTTTTTCCCGCTGTCTGCTGCCAAAAAGCTACTTCAGCAGGTAGAAGGTAAAGACAATTTTGTAGATTATCAGATACAGACCATAGACCCATAGACATATATTTACAGAGACTTCTTGCAATAAGCCTATACATGCATGTACTAGTACTATGTAATAGAAGTTGCCAAAATATAATCTTCAAGCAGATATTGGGATAGAAAATATTTTCTGACTAACTGGGCTTCTTTGACAGCAACTACCCCTGGGCCAATGGTGTGAAGGACTGCCAGTTAAGTGCCTAGTCAGAAATCATTACTGTAATAGTCTTCCACTCCAAGATCTGCTTGGGAATCAGTCAAAGTACTGATATGACTTTCTACCTGCTCCCTTGTCACGACCCTCAACCACCAACCACTGAGCTGTGAAGATGAAAAAAAAAGGAAAAACAGTTTAACCTCCATAAAAAACATTTCACCAATTTCTATACATTCCTATCCAACACCAAAAACAGCAATATTATGGTATCAGCCACGGCAGCATATCAAGGATGTCCAAGTTTACGACATGCATAAAGCAATCTGGTGGTAAAACAGTTGCCTCCAAGATATCTACAAACTGGATTTCAAAAGTAACAGGTAATCTATCTAAGTGAAAGCCGTTTACCTTTGACAGTTGTTTCCCCCGGATTTCTGGGCAGGATGGTTTCCATGGCAAACTCAGTAAGGTTGATCTCTTTGTCCTCGTAAAAGTACAGCTCCGCGTCTTTGGTTGGTCGGAACACCATGGGGTCGGGAGAGTTGTGACCATACATTGGCTGAAAACAACATACATAATGTTACATGTATGATAATATTACTGATAATTTTCAATAATTATATTGTATATTCATACCCTAAGTAATAACGTTACATAGCATACTAAATACTAACTAGAAAGGTAACAGTTGCAAAGCAAATGCATAATGTTTACCTTCGCATATGGTCCGCTCTGTTAATGCTTACTCGAACACATTCACATATATGGTGACAGGAGTCTAAATCCCTCCTACTACATGTATAAAATTGCAACATTATGTAACCCAACACCAGTTACCATGGTGATAGACGGTCTGGTTCAAATGAGGAAACTGAGCAAAAACAATATGTTTTCCTTCGGTAAACATAATGATACAGAATAATATATTATGCTGTTGGGAAAACATAGAGATCCCTCTCAGAAATCTGTTTGAAGATGAGGTTACCTCCACGTTGCCCCACCGCAGTGCCCTGTTGAAGTCCTCTGCTGTCAGACGCTTTCTCTTCGCATGTCTCATAAACTGGCAGCTTGCCTAGAGGGACAAAAACGTTGAAACTTTAGAACATTTTATGTGCTTGGATACTTTATTCAGTCCATTAGCTGTTGTACACAAATACACGAATATGCAGCTAATCTTCCTGGACCGTAAAAACATAGAATTAGAACAAGGACATACAAACTACATAAAGGCTGATATCTAGTATTTACAATTACAACATGGAAAATCAATTAGACTCGTTGATATACATCACGAGCTCCTGCCGAAACCTACACTTACTAGCGCATTCAACGCCATCAGGCAAAGTGTTCCATGTCAAGACAGACCTATACATAAAAGTCTTTATCATGGCGTTAGTTTTGGGTTTTGGCAGTCTGAGTGTATTTCAGCTTGCGTGGCCATGGCGTGTCTTGTAACCGTGTTGGTCTGTTACTGGAGGCAACTGCTTGTACAGAACAGCCGGTTGTTGTGTGGCAAGAATCCTCCGGAGTTGAGAGATGGTGTTCACCAGTAGCCTTTCTGGATTCTATTCGTTCATATTTGGACCCAGCAAGCCCACAAAAGAGTATAGTAGATATGTCTTCGGCCAGGTAGGAGCTTAAGTAAGGTAATAACGTTAACGGGCCCGTTAGTATGTTATAGAGTAAGTGACGAATTCTTGCGGAAGACCGTACCTGCATGACTTCGCGTAGCCTGTAGCAGGCGTCTTCGGCGACCATAGCGGCAACATCGTCTGACACTTCAGATATGCCAATGGATTCCGCATGGGCCTTCACGGACTCTTTCGGAATCTGAGCGAACTTCCTTTCCCCTGGAGCGGAGGTAGAGGCTCCCGATGCCGCTGTGGTTTCTGTCGATTGTTGGGACGGCGGAGGAGCGTGCGAATCGTTCATGTTCTGCATCATTTTAGTTAAAAATTCCAACAAAAACACACAAAGGTAGAAAATCACAATTCAGTCCGCCATTTTGTGTGGATTGAACCATTTGTGAAGAAGGGGGTCTTTAATTTACCTTCCCAATTTCTGTAGAAAAACTCGTAAAAGACAAGAAATATCGTTTGTATTGTGATCAGTTTTTGATTTTGTTCATGTTCAAAAACAAAAATACTCCCATCAAAGATTGAATGATGTAAAATAAATAGCGATACCTTTGGAGTAGTCCACTACATAAGTCAAAGGCCATTGACCTCGACCTCCCATTCAGTGAGGTGAGAAGCGGTTCGATTTGCGACCTAAACCGGTCGGGGCCGCACGAAATAGGCTGGGTCTAGATTTTCCAATCTTTTACGTAGTCATTCGACGTAGTTATGGCAGCGAACATGACTTTACACTAGGTAGATCTACAAGCTGAGCAACAAACGGGGTCAGTTGTCGCAAGGACGGCATTTGGTCAAGATAGACGTTTTTGTTGTCCACGTCGCAAAATTTGCTGCTGCAGCAAGACTTGCCGTGCTAATTAGCGTCTTGTGGAGTTGAGTTTCGTTTGCAAAGGTAAGTCCCCTTCCCCCTCGGTTATCTTAATGCACAGACCAAGGCCTAACGTTAGCCATTTTGTTTTCATACCAACATGGCATTTGCATTTGAAAACTACTGACACTGACAGTAGATCATTTTGCATTCATATGTTTACGTTTAAGTAGTAGCTCAATTTTGTGTCCCTCCCTCGTGATCACGGGATGACACATCATCAACAGCTTACACTAATTAACTGAAAGGGCCTGCGAAATAGGGGGCGTTTTTTTCTGTCATTTTATTATCATTATGGTTATAAGTTATTCCATGCCGTATTGCACGTAGTCCACGTGCGGTTGGTGGTGTACATTATGGCCGGCGCAGCTCAGATTGAGATGCTGGCTCGGTGCCAGAGAAATGTAACGACGTTATTATTCCAAATTGCGTCATTGTTGTTGTTGTTCTTTGTGCTCTGTCCACTCAGCACTTTCCCTGACCTTTGATTACAGTTTTTCGTACTTGTACTGTTTATCGAGCTACGCTTTTATGAAGAAAAGAGTCACAAGATGCTAGGTCAATGACCTCTGTTATGACCATAAACTACGTGAAATTGTATGGTGTACATTTATGTTTCCCTGCAAGGTTTCACTGACTGGCCTTGTGCCCAGCAGGGGTTGGTGTTTGGTTGGTGGGCTTTTATTATGGCAAACAACGTTCTAATACGCTCAAGACTGCCTAGGCATGAAATTAATAAGTATCGCTTGGAAATGTCTGAAAAATTATGCACTGTGTTTTTGGCTAAATTTAACATTCATGTCAATGAACTGCTTAAAATTTTTCAATGTTGACCAGTCACCTGGAAGTAAAAAATGCATTTTACCTTCACTGCATAGAATGGGCCCCCCCCATATAATGCTGTACATAGTAGTCCTATAAATTGTAGTTCAGTTGTCTCCTAAGTATAAAGCTTGGCGGCATATTTGCACAATCAATAAATCAGTTCCCTGGAACAAAATGTTGGTGATGTTTATGGTGTATACATTGAGTGGGTTATGTCAACACGGTCACCATGACGATCATGCTATAACAGTTGTTATTATTGTCTCAACGTCTAGCTCAATCCATCACCGGGTAAAATAACTAAAAATCAGGTAACGCAAACAACTCCCTGGTACATGTAATTACATTAAGGTATTACAAGACATACTTTTGTAATAGTGTATGTATACTGTGTAGCATTATGATTTGGGTCAAATGTAATCCATAATATGACTATCAACACCTTTATTTATTTCCCTGGGGTTTACACCTAATCCTGTTCATATGAGATTATGGCTTCCCTATAACGCAATATGGCAGTAAACAGATGGTATCAGCTGATTTATGTAAATCTCAACAGCCTTTGGTACAAATGACCTGACTTAACCATTACCTATACAAATGCTTTTTAAAGAATCGTTAAATTGGTTCTTGTAGTTGTACACTACAGTAGTTTTAGAATAATTTACATCATTGTACATGTATTCTGATTAGAGAATTATCCTTTTAAGAAATATGATATTGACTGAAAATGCTATTTTGCATTAATCTACTGGTCATGTCATATGACTGAGTCAAGGACGTTTCAAGGACACACTGGGCTTTAAACAGAATGTCAGATGTAAAAACATACTCAACAGTCATGAAAGTTTTTGTCTGTAATTTTTCATTTTTATCCCTTTTTTCAATTTTCTTGAAGTGGATGAGAATTTCATGCCTGATTCAAGGCTGATACATGCGCCCCATACTCGTATTACAAAATATAGCCACACCTTCTGCATTATTATATTCATGATGCCCTCATTGAAAATTCTTCCCTGCACCACTGCATGTCACTCAGCCCCCAAACTGGAAAATCCCGTCCTCACAACTGGAAAATCTGCATGGTAATTTTCCCACTACTCAGAAGTCAATAAGACCAGATTAGAGGTAAATGATAAAGTCCCTCGGGTCGTGGGTGCAGGGGTCATTGGTAATGACGTTATAGACAAGCGCACCCCCATATTGCCGGCATCAACATCTATTATTCCTACATTACAGGTAGGAGAGCTGTAGACAATCTGTGACGTTCAGCTTACATTTGCAGATGTGGTTAGCACTTCTCGTACAGCCATGTTTGAAAATTTCAGCCATAGCTTTTTATGTAGTGTAACACCTTTATAAGGTAGCAGACTTCTGAAACATAGGCTGGTAACAAAAATTTGGTTATGGAAATCAAACTCCAACAGCCTAGTTATGAGTTGCAACACATTGCACTGTAATGTTGCTATGTAGAAATTGATGGTAGATTTGGGATGTCATTGTCCCTGATGGTACATGTATTATTATTTATATCATGTCTCATGTGACAAGCCATCCCCTTATGTGAAATTTACCTGCCTCAGTCATTATTTGTGCATACATCTTTTCATATTTCAAAATATAGTGCAGAAATAAATAGAAAATCTGCCAGGACTTGGTATTTAGCTGGCAGAACTCAGTTGGTTAGGATCAACAAATTTCAGGCAAATGATCATAGAAACTGCTACTGATATCATACTTCTTAATTTTTCAAGATTGCCATTAACATTATACAGGCAGTCCGGATGCATAGCTGGTTTTTGGCACCCACAATGTGGTATACAGTATAAGAGATAAGCACATGAGCCACAATGCAAACAGCTTTGTTGGCTTTCTTACAGTAATTAGGAAACTGGAAAAACATGTACCACCAACTCTCATTTCCCAGGGCTCTAAGGAGCCAGCCTCACCATTGGGTGGGTCCTGCTACAAGTAGAAGCACAATTTAATCAGGCTACCTACCACACAGTTTTCTCAAAACATGATGTCATGACATTATATCAAATCTTCATATGTGACTACCGGTACTATAAATTCATTTAAATTCACAGCACTGTGAAGAATGCCTTAAAGCGGTATGGGTAAAGGCATAAAGTCTGATTTCCTTGTTTTGTTTTATTCCCCAGCCCTAGGCAGCCTCCGTCCCAGCCATGTTCCGTCTGCAGTCACCAGTGGCGTGTGTGCAGCGCGTTGCTCAGGCCCAGCTCCGAGTCAGCAATGCCCGGGCTCTGGGGGGCCTCGGGCCCAGAAGTTACTCCTCACAGCCAGAAACGGCCACCCAGACTGACAAACCTATACAGAAGGTCATGGTCGCCAACAGAGGTAAGTCAGGGGTCATTATCTTGTCAAACTTTGTTTAGTGATTGTCCAGTCATTGTGGAAACTTTGTGGACTAGTCTTTGTTAAAAAGATACTTATGCAATGATAATTTCTTATCTATAAGAATATATAAAATATGTAAAAAGTTGAGGTAGAATTTTTTTCAGCAGTTCCATTGAACGCATATCAAAGTGATGACTTACTATTTCAGAACTGATGATGATGAAATTGTCAAATTGTATTTCGCCATCCTATTATTTGCATACAGTTTAGTATGATCACATCAATCCAATCATCAAAAATTTAATTTGTAGAATCTAAAATCTGATTAAAAAATGACTCCTGAAATTTTTACACTCGGTACTATAATCCAATTGTCCACATTTAGATCAAATTGTCTGTAATTCAAGATGTTCTGGCTGAACACCTGTTTGACAACAGCATCTTATTTGTAGCCTGGGTGCCAGGATTTTACGATTTAATATTCTCTCTCTATTGCCAAAGGGAAGCACTAGAGAGAGCGTAATAAAGCTGAAAAGCCTGGCATCCATGCTATCTTGTTTTTGGGATGTGCAGGTGAGATTGCCATTCGCATTTTCCGTGCCTGCCACGAGCTTGGCATGAGCACAGTTGGCGTGTACTCTGAGCAGGACAGATTACAGACGTACAGACAGAAGGCAGATGAAGCTTACCTCATTGGGAGGGGCCTTCCCGCTGTTGCTGCGTACTTGAACATACCTGAATACATACAGATAGCTAAGGTGAGGACGCACTCTCACATGTGCATGGGACAATCTATAATAGGTATACATTTGTGCTAACATGATATTTCGATGTCTTTCCTCTCCAAAACAGGTGAGATCGCCATCCGCGTTTTTCGAGCCTGCACGGAGCTGGGAATCAATACCGTGGCAGTTTATTCTACTGAAGACAGAATGCACATGCATAGACAGAAAGCAGATGAAGCATACCCCATAGGGAAGGGCCTACCTCCAGTGGCAGCATACCTCAATATCCCTGAGTATATTCAGATAGCGAAGGTGACGTACCAGACTTGCTGTGCTTTGTGCAGGCATGCAGCTTGTTTACTTTAACTCACCCCCTTTTGTTTTGTAGTGGCTTTTGGAGTGTTTTTCCTTTGGAATATTAAGTCTTAAACTGATTTATGTACATTGTAAGTTAATCCTTCACCATAACATGCATGCCATGTTTCTGTCTGAATAATAGCAATTCTTCTGCATCTAACATTCAACTGTCTTTTTGTAAACCTACTCTACTGACTACAGTGTAATGAGATGTTACAGACACAGTCCTCAATATCGTTTGTTCTGACATAGCTCTCTTATGATTCCAGTTAAACCTTTTTGGTGTACGCTTTTTCATTTCTGTTCCTCACCATTTTTATAAAACATCATACACATTCATTTCGACATACATGAGACTACTTTGGGACTGCTTTGGCTTATTCTGCTGAGAAATTCTGACTGTTTCAGTCATACAAAAGAATCATATACGAAACAACCTGAAAGCCTCTTTTCTCCTTCTACCACAGAATTAAGTCCATGCATGAATTTGCAGTATTTGATGCAAATATGCTTATCAGCAAACCTTTGAGAGCAGTGATTACTGACATGTTGAACTGGACTTTAGAACAATGAAAAATTATAAATCAACAGTGAATAGTAACAACAACAACATCATCTGTAAGGTTGTTAAGTTTGAAATATCTTCTGCACACTGTGTGACCATCACAAACTGTAAAGTTCTTGCCCTCTACTGGGAAATTAAGTCTCCTGGATAGTTTGAATTTACAGTAGTTATATATCTTACACCTTCAGTTATTAGCGTAGTGTTTCTCCCTGTGTACATAAACTTGCTTTGACATTTGACTCCTACCAACCATCATATGTAAACAGAACGTGATAAAAAGTCAGGGGTAAGTTTCAAAGTCCAACCACCTGGCATGACTTTACTTACACACAAAAGCAACATGTTGATGTCAGTTACTATAAGTATAACTGGGAGCACGTACCCAGAACATGTCTATTTCATGATGTTTAAGAAAGGACTGAAGATGTAACAATGGCACACATTAACGTTATTTGACACACTTTAAGGGGTGATTTCTGCACAATGTTTTGTAGTACGTGTCCCATCAAGCCCTAACCAACCTGTTTCACATTTCAGAATAAGGTTGTGTAGTTTAACACAGTTTCATACATAAGTATTGTAACTGAAGAGTGCTAATTGTTGTTGTTAGTGTAACTGAAAACGTTGGAGAATAAATATTATGTATATACAACAACTAGTTATTGTTTTTCATGTTTCCCAAAATGACTCAACAGCTGTGTTGATACAATTCTTTGGAATACATTATTGCCGGTATTGAAATATTCTATACACACTTTCTCCTTCCAGTGGTGATGGTAGATCTTTGCAAACATTGATACATGCACTTTGATACCCTTTCTAAAGTTTGCGTTCTAACATTTTGTTCTTTTCAATTCTAACTTTGTATTCTAACATTTTGCTCTTTTCAAGTCTATCATTTGTGTGTATAGCCAATCTTTTTCTGCAAGCCTGTTGTCTGGACCATGGTCTTAAACTGTGTCATGAACTTGTGTTGTTCAGGAAAACGATGTGGATGCTATCCACCCTGGGTATGGCTTTCTGTCGGAACGGTCAGACTTTGCGCAGGCCGTGGTCGATGCTGGCATCAGGTTTGTCGGCCCAGCGCCAGAGATCGTCCGCAAGATGGGAGACAAGGTGGAGGCCAGACAAATTGCCATCGCAGCAGGTTAGGACATCATTTGTTTTATTTAGAGAAAAGTGCTAGTCATAAGCAGCATCTTGTAACTGTAGAGAATGTAGTAGTAGAGCCATTATCACATACCTGCGCAATTTTAACTTCCTTACAAATTTTGAGAGATATGATTGTTAAAAGTTGTACAGAGCTAAAACCTTGATCCAACTCAGCTCTGTACTACATGTCTGTTAACTACCAACACAGAAAAAGTGTCATATTAGTTGTTTTAGGTTGTTAAGAAGAAAATAGAAATTGGAATTTGTTAAGTGTCATCTTCATAAGCATGCAAGATTGACCTGAAGTTTTTGCACCTTTTGTGACTTTCCCCCCTCAGGTGTCCAGGTGGTACCAGGTACTGATGGCCCAGTGTCCACACTAGAGGAGGCACAACAGTTCTGTTCTGAGCATGGCTTCCCCATCATTCTGAAGGCTGCGTTTGGTGGGGGAGGCAGGGGCATGCGTATTGTACGGAACAAAGAGGTAAGGGTTCTTTTCTGTATACGTACATAGAAAATACATGATAACGTGTACTCTGAGTTTCATATGGTTATGCATTATGCAATAAATTTTTATGTCTGATTGTCCTGTTTGTGTCTAGGACCTGAATGAGAACTTCCAGCGTGCAACCTCAGAGGCTTTGGCAGCATTTGGCAACGGCTCTCTCTTCATCGAGAAGTTCATTGAGAAGCCCAGACATATCGAGGTGCAGATTCTAGGTGAGGAGTTCCCTCTCTTTGTCAAAATACCACATGAATATGCACTGGTTACCTTACTTTAGACCCTAGGTCCTCCTGTACCTTTAGGCACATTGGCCAGCCAGTTTTCATTTAGTTTTGGTGGCTTCTGCTTTCTCAGCCTTTTCCCGGGAAGTTAGCTCTTTTTAAGATCTTAGAAGCTCCTACACCTTGTGTTCTTTGATTTGCTCCTCTTCCTTCTGTCAACTGGTGGCACCTATGTCATAGCAGTCTTTGCTGCTGACTCTGTAAATGTAAGATGCCCCCTGCCAGTAGCATTTGCTTCCCTGTTATGATGTCAGGCCAAGCTTAACTAAAAAAAGCACTTCAGCACTTTCGCTTTGGTGATTCTTGCTCTCCCTGTGCAGGTGACAAGGCGGGAAACGTCGTGCACCTGTATGAGCGTGACTGCTCCGTCCAGCGGCGGTACCAGAAGGTGGTGGAGTATGCCCCGGCCCCCGAGCTGGACCCCGTCCTCAGGAAGGGCATCCTGGCCGACGCCGTGAAGCTGGCGAAGTTCGTTGGGTACGAGAACGCGGGAACGGTGGAGTTTCTCCTGGACCAGGAGCAGGGGAAGTTCTACTTCATCGAGGTCAATGCCAGACTTCAGGTGGAGCACACAGTAACAGAGGAGGTCACTGGGTGAGTTGGCATGTTATTCTGTCAAAATAAATTGGCAAGCTGATCTTGGGAAAAGGTTACCTCATTTCCTGTCTTCAATTACCTTTTCCAATTATGCCGGTATGCATGTTTGTTGCCTTATGGGAGTTAGTTGAAAAATACATACTATTAGACAGAATCAGTGAGCAATTCACAATAAGGAATGAAATAATAAATTGACAAAAAGTTTGCGAAGGTGTGAACTCTTTGATTTCTTTTTGTTGTACTGTAGGGTTGACTTGGTGCAGTCCCAGCTGAAGATTGCCCAGGGGAACACCCTGCCTGACCTGGGTCTGACCCAGGACAACATCAGCATCCACGGGTCGGCCATCCAGTGCCGGGTCACCACGGAGGACCCGGGACGCAACTTCCAGCCTGATACTGGCAGGATAGAGGTGGGTCACCTGGGTCTTATCTGCATCTGTATCAGTATAGCCGGTATGACCACCCTTTGGCGTAACACACAAGCTATCTGTGGTCTAACCCTTTTATAGGCTGCATAACATAAGTGGGTAACCTTTGTCTCTCTGTATGTATTCATAAGTTCTAACTCTGGTATAGGCAGGATTGGTTTGTTTGTATTTATCCTTAACTTTAATCCTGGATTGAATTGGTTAACCAGGGTCTATAGATGTTCTCTAACCTGCTAGAGATTTGTTTGTATTTACACTAACTTTAATCCTGGATTGAATTGGTTAACCAGGGTCTATTTAGTATGTATACTCTAACCCTGACTAGAGATGGGTCTGTCTGATAGTTTGCCACCTGAGTTTGCATCAACCTTACCTCAGCCTAGAGAGTGTAACCTGAGTCTGTTTTCTTTCCTCAGGTATTCCGAAGTGGAGAAGGCATGGGGATCCGTCTGGACAGTGCGTCGGCCTTCGCGGGTGCAATCATCTCCCCGCACTACGACTCCTTGCTGTGCAAGGTGATTGCACACGCTATCGACCACCGCTCCGCCGCTACGAAGATGAGGAGGGCGCTGTCTGAGTTCCGAATCCGAGGGGTCAAGGTAAGGACAATCTCATCAACTCAATACTGCTGAGTGCTGATCCTAAGGTAAGGTGCAAGGGACATCTTCACAGTAAACAGGTGGCCACTACAGATTGAATTCTTAATGCTTGGGTCAATGGAAAAAGTAATCTAAGGAACCACCAGAAAGAGCCTTAATGGCCCAGTGGTGCTTCTGCAAAGGTGGTCACTGGTACAGATTTGACTGTAGGAATATCATTTTGACACTTTTTTACAGACCAACATCCCGTTCCTCCAAAACGTGCTGAGAAACGAGGAGTTCCTGTCGGGCGCCATCTCCACCCACTTCATCGACCAGAACCCCGGACTCTTCAACTTCATCCCCAGCCGCAACCGCGCCCAGAAGCTGCTGTACTACATCGCACACATCATGGTGAACGGGCCCTGCACCCCCCTCCCCACCGGCCTCATGCCTGCAGAGATCACACCCGTGGCGCCACCGGTACCCTTCGGTAAGACATGACTCATTCATCCATGGCATTACATATGTTCATCCATGGCATTACTTTTATAGGATTACAACCACTTTGAAAAATGTCTATTGCAGTACCCCCAAGGTATGCGCAGCTTACTTGGGGACATTATATTGGAGATATGTTTAGATGCATTTTTACCGGTATATACGAGACCTGGCAGAATGAATGATGGTAGTAGACCTCCAATTTCAATTTTTATTGATGTGCTAACAAAGGTGCTAACATGGTACTTTGATATTATTACTGTCTCTGTACATGTACATTGCTCTTGAGGCCTGGGTATGCATGTCTATGTTATTGATGTTGGTGATTGGTGACTAACTCTACTTTCCTATCACCCATGTTGTGTGTGTTTGGGACACCCACCATTCCAGACCCATCAGACAAAAGGCACAGACGAGGTGAGCTGTCCTTCTCACTGTGCAGTGGTGGCTCAGTGTAATCAGGAGCAGGGGTGTACGTGCATAACCAGGGCTCCAAATACTGGAAATTTCTTAACTGTACTGGTACAGAGAACTTTATGTCATTATTTGACCAGGGCAGGTATGCTCAAGTCATGTGAAACACAAATACCGGAAACACAAATACAAATATCCGAAGTTCTGTCCATCAGACATCAGAAAAGCCTGCAGTAACCTAAATATGCAGGTGGTATTTTGAGACCTGTTGAAGGAGTGTTGTGTTTTCAGTTATCACAGTGTTAAATAAGCAGATTTGTAAAAGCAGGTTTCAAAGCCCAAGTGACAAAGATTATGTATAAAAGTGAGAAGTACACAATTGTTTCTACCCAAATGACTGACATCAAATCATTCCAAAAGACATTTATATGTTTGCAGAACTTCAATCTTGAAATCAACCACGATGACCATGGTATCTTTACAACAATGCTGCCTGAGAATTGACACCAGAAGCAAACTGTGCTGCCTTACTCTCTGCTTTCTGCCAAGCTTTTGTGCAAACAGCATTGCATGTGAACTGGTTCATTGTCCGATGCGTATGCCTATCATCTGCTCTTAAATCACGCTAACAGGGCTTTCTCCAGCACCTGTCCCTCTATCCCTGGATGGAATTTTGCTCCTCAGAGTGGACACAAGTTTCAACCTTTTCCATCCCCCTTGTTTGGCAAATGTCAAGAATTCTTGATGGTTTCACCAGGTTATCAACAGTGTCACAAAAATCAAAATGAAGCCATTCAAAATTTGCCCAATGAAAGTGTTCCAGAGGGTTAAGAAGTCCAAACTCCCATAAAGCTTGCCTAAAATGTTTTTTTAATTACTCAATATTAGACTTTTCCTCAACACACTGAGGGGACAGGCAAAATTTTGATGCTGGAGAAAGTCCTATATGCTACCTTCACATTTCAGGACAGCGCCAGGCAAGGTGATTTTCTAACCTAATTTGCTTCTTTTCCTGTGAATTAATTCTGCTTCAAGCGTCCACTCTTCACGTCTGCAACTGTTCACAATGTTATGTTGACTAATGATTTCAATTTTTGCGCACTAATTTTCTTGTCATTTTTTGATTCTGTGTCCACAAGCCATCCACAGGTTTCTGCAGTTTTCCACAGATTGGTTCAGTGAGGCATCAAACAGTATTCCTACCATTCAGAACAGAGTGACAGGCCAAATATAATATAATTGGGCACACTAATGTAGTTTATTGGTTCTCAATTCAAATTTTCCTCCCAGCCATGTGTTGTCATGTTTACCTGTTCCCACCTCTTTACCTTAAAGAGTCTGATAACAAGGAATTTGTGTGGCCTAATAAAATGGGTATATAGACAGACCCTCAGCACATTTGTTCTTCATGCTGATTTTACTGAATAAAATCAATTACTTAAAAGATAGATAACACCCAGCAAGCTTAATATGGCTCTTAAACTCTTCAATTACATTCTACTCACTGTTTGTCCTGACATTTGTAATTCACATTTATGCTGATTGATTCGAAATTGGAACCCAAAAGCAAACTTTGACATCCATAAAATGAGGGATTTTAAAAATCACTCTCAGGATTCTTTACTTTCACTTTCCAGACGAGCCTCTCCCGAGAGGTTTCCGTGACATCTTTGTGGAGCAGGGCCCAGAAGGCTTTGCCAAGGCCGTGCGGAACCACAAGGGTCTGCTGCTGATGGACACCACATTCCGTGACGCCCACCAGTCCCTGCTGGCCACGCGCGTCCGCTCGTACGACCTGTGCCGCATCGCGCCCTTCGTGTCACACAACTTCGCCAACATGTACAGTCTGGAGAACTGGGGAGGTGAGAGAAACAGCCTACCTGCCTGCCTATGTCTCAGACCAGTAGCTGATCCCATGCTCCCTTCTGTTAGGTTGCTCCCTGTTGCACATTCCAGGGACTTGTTGGATTTTCTTCATCTAATATTGCCCTTGCTACCAAAGGAATAGTTCCTTGCTATAGTACTTGCATAACTGGGTGGCCCAAAGGATATAGAAACAGAGAAGGAATTTTTCTAGTTGTTACTCTTCAGGCACCTAATGTTGCCCTTCCTACCAGTGGAGTAGACTCTTCAACAACTGTGTGGCCCACTGAAGAGATGTATTTTTTTACTGTAATGTTCACCCCCCCTCCCAGGTGCGACATTTGATGTAGCCCTGCGGTTCCTAAAAGAGTGTCCGTGGGAGCGTCTGGAGGCCATGAGAAAGCGGATCCCTAACATTCCGTTCCAGATGTTACTGCGGGGAGCCAACGGTGTGGGCTACACAAGCTACCCTGACAATGTCATCTTCGAGTGAGTACTGATGCTCAATTTAGATCCACCCACGACCTGAAATTTGTTGCACAAAGTTGCGAAAGGGCGAAGACAGTGACAGGGTCAAATTGAATCTATAAGTCCTTAGTCAATCCTCAAATGGTGATTCATGTGTGCCCTCTTTTCTCCAGGTTTTGCAAAGTTGCCAAGGAAACCGGCATGGACGTCTTCCGTGTGTTTGACTCTCTGAACTACCTGCCGAACCTGATGCTGGGTATGGAGGCCGCGGGACAGGCCGGAGGGATCGTGGAGGCCGCCATCTGCTACTCTGGGGACGTGTCCGACCCTACGAAGACAAAGTACGACCTGAAGTACTACATGGACCTGGCAGACGAACTCATCAAGGGAGGAACGCATGTTCTCAGCATCAAGGTCAGTCTTCAGCTTTAGGGCTTGAAATACTTTTAATTTGTGCACCCAAAACTGGAGCTGTGTATTTGATTTTTGACTGGGTGCAATGGTGCAACTAGATATTAATGTAGGGCCGCATCCTCACTGCTGCCATTCTTTTATCTATGAGACTAGAAGCAAAGTACTGCCATTCTTTTATCTATGAGACTAGAAGCAAAGTAATATGGGTAAGAGTTTGCAAAGTAATATGGGTAAGAGTTTGCAAAGTAATATGGGTAAATGGATGAAGTCTGCCATCTCTGATTGTCTGATATTTCTTGTTTTCTGCAGGACATGGCTGGGCTCCTGAAGCCTCAGGCTGCCAAGATGCTGATCTCGGCCCTACGAGACAAACACCCCGACATGCCCATCCACGTGCACACTCACGACACGTCGGGCGCCGGCGTCGCCTCCATGCTGGCGTGTGCGGAGGCTGGAGCAGACGTGGTGGACGTGGCAGTGGACTCCATGTCCGGGATGACATCACAGCCCAGCATGGGAGCCCTGGTGGCCTCCCTACAGGGGACTGAGCTGGATACAGGTTAGGGGGGCTAGGCTAATCTTTTACAACCATGTATACATCTCTGTATATATCAAAATTTCCTTACAAGGTGTAAATGTTTCTGTCATGTTTTCCAAATGTTATTTTGCACCCTCAGCTGTTTTTCCTCTTTTGTCCTCATATTAATTATTATGCTTAGTCTACATTTTCCAGTCAACAAGTACAGAAACTGTTGATTGAAACTAGTTGCCAGACTGAGATATGTTAAATATATGTTTAAAAAATTGTGGGAAAATCCAACCAATTACATTTCATAACAATCCATCTATAGCTTCTTCAGTTATTCTGTTCAACCAAGTTTGTGATCTCTAATTTCCCCCAGGCATCCCCCTAGAGAGAGTGTTTGACTACAGCGCGTACTGGGAGCAAACCCGGCAGCTGTACGCGCCCTTCGAGTGCACGGTCTCCATGAAGAGTGGCAACGCAGACGTGTACGAGAACGAGATCCCTGGCGGACAGTACACCAACCTGCAGTTCCAGGCCTACAGCCTGGGGCTGGCAGACAAGTTCCCTGAGATCAAGAAGGCATACGCAGAGGCCAACAAGCTACTTGGTGATGTCATTAAGGTATTGATTATTGAATGTTTTACCCTTTGGTGGAAACCATGTGTCACTTTTACTGTGCTTAGACCTAATCCAACAAAAATTCAAAGTTTGATTTTAATAAGATGCCTAATCTTATATGCAGTCACAACTTAATTTGGAACTTAATTCCAAAAATGTCACGAAGACTGGCTGTTTGGTGAAATGTCACAGCCATGGCACTACCCATGTGAATATAGCTATGGGCTGAAGACTGAGACCTGACAGTAACTCAATTTATATTTCTTTCCACCAGGTGACCCCATCATCCAAGGTCGTTGGTGACCTTGCCCAGTTCATGGTGCAGAACAAGCTGTCCCCAGAGATGGTTGTTGACCGTGCAGAGGAGCTGTCCCTGCCCAGCTCCGTCATCGAGTTCTTCCAGGGGTACCTCGGCGAGCCTTACGGGGGCTTCCCGGAGCCGCTCAGGTCAAAGGTCAGGATGGTTTCATTTTTGAAAAAAATCTTGTGTCTTTATCAGCCATGCTATGTATCAATGTATGTGTGAGAACATAAGTGTGACGAAGGGTTACTGTGATCTTGGTGTATTTGTCCTGGCATAATGTTAGGTCTGTAGGCACAGTAGCTAAGGCACAGTTTGGGTACCTTTTGTGGTTTTCCTACATTTTATTCATACTTCTGTAAATCTTGAAATATTTGGAGTGGTTTTTATGTTCACCGTTTTTGCAGTGACCTATCCACTGCATAGTGGTTCTTTTGTTGTTTTCTTCAATTAAATGTATCGTATTCATCAAAGAAAACTTCCACCCCAGATCCTTAAGGGCATGAAGAAGGTGACCGGCCGCCCTGGTGAGTCCATGCCACCACTGGACTTTGCCGCGCTGAAACTGCAGCTCCTGGAGAAGTTTGGGAAAAAGATTGCCATACAGGACTGGGACGTCCTGAGCGCTGCTCTCTACCCCACTGTGCTGGACGAGTACTTGGAGTTCAGGAGCGATTTTGGACCGGTCGACTGTCTGGAAACAAGACTGTTCCTCACAGGACCCAAGATTGCTGAGGAGTGTGAGGTAAGAAATATTCTTTTTACTGTGCACAGATTCAGCCTTAATGGCTGCCATTGTACATTATAAACATTTCATTACTCTTGTCATTACGATAGGCTGAAAATATGGAAGATGTGGGGAAAATGCTCTCTCTTGGAATTAAAAAAAAATTTTTTTAGGTGGCCATTGAGAAAGGCAAAACCCTGTCCATCAAGCCGCTGGCTGTGGGAGACCTGAACAAGATGGGTCAGAGGGAGGTCTTCTTTGAGATGAACGGTCAGCTGCGGTCAGTGCTGGTCAAGGACAACCAGGCGCTCAAGGTCAGTCCCAAGCCAGAAACTAGTTTCTCATAATTGCATTACTTTGGCTAATGCTAAGAACTGCCTGCTTCAAAATTTGATTACCAAGTCTTATCTGTCTTATCTGTTTCTGTCCTGCAAACTATATGTTGACAGTCGTGTTCTGTATTTTATGTGCAGCCTACACTGCCATGATTTAGGTGGTATTTTATCAATAAGTAATTTTTTTTGTAGGAAATGCACTTCCACCCCAAGGCCCTGAAGGGTGTGAAGGGGTCTATCGGAGCACCCATGCCCGGCTCTGTCGTCGACATCAAGGTCACAGAGGGCGACAAGGTGAAGAAGGGCGACCCCCTGGTGGTGCTGAGTGCCATGAAGATGGAGATGGTCGTCAAGGCGCCCATCGATGGCGTCGTCAAGAAAATCTCCGCAGAGAAAGGCATGAGTCTGGAGGGAGATGACTTGTTGTTGGACTTGGAATAGCCCGCAAAAAAAAAACACCCCAAAAGCTCTACTTTGGTCTAGGGTTAGATGGAGTTTTCTGGTATGTAACTGCAAGTTTCTCTTCACCTGCCAACGTATTGGTGCCTTCCTTAGGGCTACAACAAATGTTTACAGGTGAGGAAAACTCTTATGTTCAGGGAAAACTTGACTATCCTATGGTCTACCAAACTGTGGAAACTCCTGTAGGATGTGGATGGATACTGGATACTGCAGTGCTGACTTTGGTCAAGTTCAACAGCAACAGTCACTTGATTGTACCATTAACAGACAAAATTTAGTGGTTAAGTATTGAAGAAACTTTCATCACTGTCTTAATGAAAGATAGAAGATGTATCTTTAATGTCTGGCTCTTCAGAGGATATATCTGGATACTTGATTCATTATGTATTACTAATTAGACAAACAGATAGAGAAAGGTAGGCACAGATACATGTAAATCACACCACCATGTGCTCCCTTACTTTTGGCCATCAAACAAAACATATTTGAAGGGAGATGCTAAATGCAAAAGTAAGCCAGGAGGTGTTGATATACATATCTTGTCACAGAAGGTGTGAATCTCAAAGTTGCACTATTTTTTAGATATTGAGTAACACTAAGAACCTGTCTATTTACTAACAGGTAGATTGTGGACAAAGTAATCATACTGTACATTATGATATAGATATAATATCTAGACATGTGTAATCATGGTGATGCCTTCTTAAATCTGGAGTAGTTTAATAGAATGTGGAAGAATGTAGTGAATAAATGTGGAGTGTGAAGGAACAAAATATTTATCTTGTAAACAAATTACTAGCTTAAATGCTAATAAGCTTATTAATGTAAGATATCATACATTGAAGGTGGCATAGCTGGTTTTTGGTGCTACAGAGTGATGTAAGGAAGATATACATCAGACAGGTTAGAGGATAAGAGACCAATAATTGCACTTCGTGTCTTGTCAATGGCAAAAAGTAGCATGGTTGAAAGTGACTCACATAGATTCTACCTAAATGTATTCTTGCCTATGGTATGGTTGTGGTGAAAGAAGAAGTCATATTGCTACCTTGGATATACTGTGATAGATAAATTACATTTTGTATTTAGATGTGCATCTGTGGGGACCTCTTTAACATAGATTATCAGCATCTAGAATGGTATATGTACATGTAAGTCAAGAAGTAATGAAATGTCCTATCAGATATATTTAGCAGGGCTCAAATGAACTTGATAGGGAAAGAAATTCTACCTTGCTGTTATCACAATTTAGCCAATTATAATCCTACTACATCTTGTGGTACATCTGGGAAATCTGCAGAACATGTTTTCAAAGGCAAGTAGAATTTCAGTCTACTTGCGATATTGTGATAAACTAAAAAAAAAAAAAAGTATTTCAAGCCCTGAGTAATGTTCAATGTGAGCCATGTCTAGAATGTGTCACCAGAGATCCAGGTAGAAGCTTCTCTTCCATGCCTTCATCAGCAAATGCAGTGTCTTAATGTGTATCAATGCAATGTGTGTGACACAATAAGAACATGACCCATAGTAACTGTGGTGTTCGTGTACATTTGTCAGCACTATCCTGGCATACTAGCCATGTAGTTTTAGCTAGAAACAGATAGCAGCAAAAGTAGTAGTTAACATGTAGTAGTTAACTGTAAAAAATGAAGTACGTGTATTTCAAAGGTAAACTGCACAGTCAAGATAATTTCATTCAGTTTGATTACTACCATTGTGTTTTATCTGTTTTGCATTTATCTAAGAAAAAGTGAAAATTAACCTTCTCCATGGTGACTAACCCCGTATTGATGCCAAGTGGCTACCTTAGCAGGCAGATGGTTTAAATGCCAGGGTACATCTGATACATTGTGTCAACACGTACCTCATACTCATCTACATACACCTGCATGACTCTGCAACCCTCACCCTCGGATTTTTGAGTGAAACAATGTTCTGTGAGAGTGAACTGCATTTAGAGAAGTGATAGTATCTGTCACATTGTAACTATTATCCGTATTACCAAGGAGGTTTAAACCTTCTTGCTATTAGTAGCAACCTTGTGTGGGGACAGACACATGTAGTGAGTAAGTATGCAGAACATCAGCACCAATGTAATTTAGGTTTGTCACAGATCTGTTTGGATTTGTGTACACATCAGTCATGTAATAATTGCATGATGTTGTAGTAATTCTTACAAGTTTTTGTGTCATGAGTTGATTATTGGCATAAGATGCAGTACATTTTACACTCTGTACATTGACATGAAACAAAACAATGTTGTCTTCAAACTTCTACTTGTGCTTTCAATTTCATTTTTAATGAGTTAGATGGGTGGAGTGCAGATATAGCAACAGTAGCCATAGCAACAGTGCATGATCTGACTGGTAGAAAGAAGTCATCAATGTCAGGTACATATGTCCAGGTTTGACTTGTGCAGTAAGATCCAAATACAACTTAAGACTGACTTAAAAGGTTGGTGACAGCACACCAATGTTTTACTTATGTTTTTTTTTCACATTTATTATTTGATAGACATTCTTATTTTCATCTTCAGTTCGTAGTAAGCAGATCTTTGCCCATTCATACCTTATAACCACATAACTTATCTACTGTCAAGATTTCATTCCAAGTACACTCTCCAGGTATTTATGTTTCTACCTGGGTGGATAACGGTGGGTAACTGCAGAAACAATCATAGATCTATACCAAAAATTACAAAATTTTAGCACAAATTTACAAACAGTTGCTTATCATGTCTACTGAATGAATCAAGTGATATAACGTCCTTGGTGATTTATATCAAAATGAGTAGTCAAAATATCAATGGGGTAGAATTTTCTTCCACTGCTGTATACTGGCTACATTTAATTTCTGGTTGTATATTTGACATATTTTTTTACATTTTTCATTAATTTTATATACAGTAATTAAGTATTTTTAAAAGTAGGATGTTTATACTAGTACTTCAATCAGTCATCTCAAATCCCTGTATACCTAGTAGTACCAAAACTACATGAATGATACTCTGGATATATCAAGTTGTAAACTAAAAGCAACTTTCACTTATTTGTTATTTTTCACCAAATACACTTGGGTACAAATTTACAAGTAAAGGTAAAACAATTTACTGGTACTGCAAAATGCCACTTTCAAAACAGTGGCCAGTTACTTCACGTCATTTTTAAAAGAAGCATCCCTGAAAATGTACTAAGAGTTGTTTTTCATGAAAGTTCATCTGTGTTTGGTAGCAATCATAGTAAAACATTGAACTTTATTCCAACACAAGGGTTACTAAGTTGTTTTTCATCCATCAAATTCAGCAATGTGTACTTAGAAGCCCTTGGTTCTGGGTTTTCCACACAAGCACCTTTCATTGTTGTATACATAACTTAAACCCTGTTGTCTTTTCACTTCAACCCTATACTGTGATTTCTTTCCAACACTATTATGGTTGGCTTTTCACAATGATCCATCACTTAATTGCATTTGATGTTGCTATTACACTCACCTTACAAGTTGCATTACATGTGCATTAGAAATTTTTTCCAAGTGCACATCCATGATTCACACTTTTCTTGAATGACTGGGAGACAGGACAGTGTCCAGTTTGGTTTACAGTAAAAGTATGACAATGAACACCTAAAACTGGTCAGTTCGGATTAAGAAAGAGACAAGATTTGGAAATTTTCCTTCTGAAAAGAAAATGGAAACGAAAATTTGATTGACTTTCTAAAGTCAAATACATCTACGTGTATCTAATAAATTTAAGTCAGGTTTTTAAAGTCAAATACATGTTTGTGTGTATACATGTCAAATAGTCTGTATAGGAGCTACGACAAAAATTAGTATGGTCCTTAAATGACACGTGACACTTCATTGTACAAACTCCGTTGTACATTTACATGTAAGATTTAGTTGATACAAGGCAAGATTGGTTGATGTAAGGTTTAAGAAAATAGAAATACAAGCAAATAAAATGAAATTATTAGCACTCCAAAGAGACCATCATTATCTGACAGTACTCATCTGTCAATTTCATATAAGAGAGTATCAGGCCACAAAATGAAGTGAGCGGATGTCTGACAGTATTACAATGGAATCCGCTGGTAGCAGAGCAGGAAGAGGATGGCACCCTGGATGTGTCGGAACTCCTGGTTGGGCTTCCCTTCACTCATCTCCTGCACCACGATGTGCAGCCACTGTAGCATGTCCACCGGGTCCTGGTTCTTCCCGCTCCACTTCTGTGCCTGCCACTCCTGCAGGATGGCATACTCTGGCTGGCACGCCTGGAGAAGTAGCAGAAACAAAAGCTCAGCAAGCAATCATTGAAAAAAGGCCAGTATGAAGAGTATGAAGAAAGCAGCATATCATGTGAACTTGAGTAATTTATCTTCAGAGAAGGATCAAGGATTCACAACAAAATGAAAAAAAAAGTAGAAGCAAATGCTGCACTGCAGAACATACTTTTTCTGTGCTGTTCCCTCCTTTGCATTGCTGGTTGATTCTCATAAGATGGATGATGCCATACCCAAGCTTAGACCCCATCTCCTTGTAGTTGGGATGCATGTTGCAGGCCACAGTCGTAGAGGAGGGAGTCCCAGCCAGGATCTTGAGTGCCAGCCGAGGACAGTCGACTTTCTTGTAAGGAATCCCACAGTGGAAGAGGCCATCTATGATGGTTCTAAGCAGCTCAGGTCTCTCCTCCCCAATGTGCTGGCGAAGGTCCTCCATCATCGCAGCCACCTGCTCTTTGCCGTCATCCCGGTGCCTGACCTTGATGTCTTCGATGTCGGCCTCGTTGAAGCCAACCTCCCTCGCAAACTTGGGCCACTTCACAAGGTTGTTGACAATCTCCTGTCGTATGAAACTGTAGTTAAATTTGAGATGACAACACGGCTCGAAGAGGGAGCGCAGAAGGCCATCCTTGGTTGGACAGACCTCGCAGCGGAAGCCCTCCACAATTTCCACATCCTCTCTTGGGAAGAAGCCAACTCTTCCATCAGTGTAGCCCACCCAGTACACCTTTTGTACCTTTTCACAGTGGCCAAAGACCTCCTGCTTGGTCAAAACAGGAATAAACTGTCCTTCATTGTAGTCCAGTTGATACCACTGGTTTCTGCGTCGGGTAACCTTGGCCCTGACGATTTCACAGTTGATGACGGAGGGAGCTGTTGGGTGTTGACTGGCACTTGACCTCCTCCTCTGTGGTGTACCTTGTCTTCGCCTCTTCACCCGTGGGCTTGTTGGGGCACTGTCTGGAGGACCAGCTGGAGAGGCAACATGGAACATGAAGGGCTTGCTCTTTTCATCAGGCTTTACATTGAAGGTGATGATAAATGGATTTGTCTTCTTGCCACTCTTCTTGGTGACCACAAACCCAAATTTGCCATTGCCTCTTTTCTTCACAGCTCCCTTAGATATGATGAGTGTCTGCTTGTCTTCTTCATCTTCAATTTCCCAGGAAGATGTTTTGAGTGACACAGTAATCTCAAGCCTCTGTGGTTTGTCCACATACATGTCATAGCTCTCTCCCCACTGCACACTGCCCTCTGCCTGACTGGTGGATCCCATTTTTTCCTTGAAGGAGTCATACCAGGCCAGGAGTCCATGGTTGCCTCGGCAGGAATAGACCAACACAGGGACTATGGACTTCTGGAGAACCCATGGACCAAAGACTGCAAAAGTCACCCTCCGTTCCAGTGAATCCCAAACATACTCCTTCACAGTCTTGGCCACCACCATGATGAAATTTTCCTGAAGTGGTCCTTTCAGAAGCAGTCTGATAATGTTGCCTGGCAACATCCGGTACAGCTGATGGTCCACCTGCTCAAAACCACTGTCAGGGGAGCTGCTTTGGAGGCACTCGATGTGGGTGGTGTTCCTCTCACTTTCCTTGATCCTTGCATCCATCTGGACATCCACAATAATGTTCTTTTCCACTTTCCCTGGTTCACTGAGCTCTACCTTCACCAGGGGTGCAACCGCTGCCATCTATGGACCCTGTGCTTCCAGTGGACAATCCGTTGCCACGGTGACAGTGACCTTTTGCCTTCCCTTCTCTGATGAGTGGTTGCGAGGGACATGAACAACGACATCCTTGCAGGTGGTTTCAATCACGCCTCCGTCACTCCCGACTTCGCTGGAAACAACTTCAGGCTGACAAGGCGGTTCTTCACTTTCATCCTTCTTATCTTTCCTGCCTTTTTTTGCAGACCTTTTCTTGGGCCTAACGGCAGGTGTGTAGGTGAAGGGCTGGCCTGCGTCCCTTGGGCTCAGTTGAGGGGACTTCCTGCCACTGTTGTCAGAAAAGTTGGTAGCCATCTCCTTTCTGGAAAGAGGGTACAATCTGTTGGAATATATATTCAGGTAGCAATTAATTAATTATTGATTGATTGATTGATAGAAATGAGACATTGGTTTCTGTTGCTATATTTGTTAACCATTTGTCTGGAGGCCAAAGCTTCATCTTTTAAATTGCTTAATGCAGTATGACAATAGCTAATGGTGTACATGACTGTTAAAATTGTATACACTTCAGCCTTAAAAAAATTACAAATCACCACACCATAGTTTAGTGCAAATGTACTATCAACATTATGACAACTGTGGGGAAATGCCAACATGTGGTCTCCCCACATTTTTTGGGGGGGGGGGGGAGAAAGTTGTCATGTTCTATTAAACACCCCAGGTGGAATAGAACATCAGAGATTACAGTCACACCACTTTCACTTTCATTTCTATCAACACAATCATTTATATCACATGACTGTATATAAGATATATTATGGACAGATTCTAGATACAGTAGTGTAAAGGGAGGGAAAATATTCTGTCTTGATCCCAGCTTTGTGTAACAGGTGCAAACTTTAGAGGGGGTTAGGTCCTTGGACTTGGAGGCAAAACTGTTACACAGATATGAATAATCCTAAAACCACAAAACCCAAGACACTTACATCAGCTTCAAAGATAAACAGTTTTGGTTCCACCACTGCCAGTCTTCCTTTGCCTAATGATCATCACCCAACTACAATAATCCATACCGCCTGGACTGGACAAGAATCAATGGATATGTCTCTACCTGTAACAGTTCCCTTTATGATTTATGTATCACTCCGCACAGCTAGCCTTTTTGCTGAGGTGTAAATCATTACGAAACATTTAGTTAAGACTCGCCGTGTTTGGAAGCCATATACTCAGAATCTGCTTAAACTTAAAAAAAAAACATTCTTTACGAAAAAATACCTCCGAGTCGGAACTATTTCTTGTGACGTACTATACATGTCTACCTGTCACGAGTGTAAAAGTGACGTCACCCCGCGCCGCGAGCCTACCTGCTGGTCACGTGATCAAAACAAAAACCGACAGTAACCAAAAACCTAAAAAAAAACACCCCTTTCCTTCCCCTCACGACATTACAGATAGCGCGGGTATAGAGTAGAGTAGAGTCGCGCAGTCGACTAGTCCTAATACATTTAGGACCCCATTTAGATACTAGGCTATTTACACTAGTAACAAGTTAACGTTATATATAGTGCCTCCGCCCCTTTCCCACCAGCTTCGCCGTGGAAGCGCTTAAGCGCTGCCCTGAGGCACACGGTGACCTGGCCATCACCTATGACGTTATGGGTTTTGCAATAGCATTATTGATCTACAACAGTTTCTATTTACGATATTGAAGATTGGGGCTTACGGAGACACGGCAATTCATAATAACTTACCAACCGTAACGTTACTGTAGTTTCACCTGTTTGACACAACAACAATGCCTACTCCTCTTACTTACCTCTTTCAAGCCGTGTACGTCTGTATACGGTCCTTGCGATTTCTTCAGCAATCGTGACATGAACACCACGCTCTTCGTTTGGGTTCTTCTCGCTATCCACCTGTACACTGTAACGCTATATAATAACTACAAGTGTTTAGTGTACAGCGTACAGTGTTCACTGTCACTACATGTCACTGCACCTGCACTGCTTGCTTCTCGCTGGAAAGCTCTCGCTTGTGTCAATCATAACAGCTCCATGCTGTTCTTTCCCGCCAGTCATATGACTATACACAACAAAGAAACGCATGATTTCATAACATGGCTGCGTCTTTTTTTTACAATCCCTGGTTGGCCAGTGTCTATTCAATGATACCTGATTGGTCACGTCTACGACTGAGACGGCTGAAGTCATGCAGCAAACTGAACACGTGAAAGGTGCATGTCCAAAGAATGAACGCTGGTTGGAAATGAGAGAGGGGAATCCCCACTTTCTGCAGGTTAAATAATCGTCGTCAGAGGTCGCTTCAACATACCTGGCTAGCTGCAAACATGGCTGCCACACGAGTTTTAGGCAACTTGAGCACTGAAACCGCCGCTTTCTTCCTCTGTGACATGCAGGAACGATTCCGACCAGCTATCAAATTCTTCCCCGAGATCCTACAAATCGGACAGAGGCTGGTGGAGGCCAGCAAAAATCCTGGACATTCCGCTGATCGTGACGGAACAGTACCCCAAAGGGCTGGGCAGCACAGTAGCAGAGATAGACGTGAGCAGTGCAAAGGTCGTGGTCCCGAAGACCAAGTTTTCCATGGTGGTTCCGGAGGTTGAGGAGGTGTTGAAGTCCATGCCGGTGGTCCGGAGCGTGGTGTTATTCGGGATAGAGGCGCACGTGTGTGTCCAGCAGACGGCCCTGGACCTGCTGGCGCGGGGCGTGGAGGTGCACGTCATAGCAGACGCCACTTCCTCAAGGAGTCAGATGGACAGGTGTGTATAGCCTCCTTGGCAGGCTTGTGTATGAGCTGGCCATGGTACACGGTTCATTGTTTGTAGGCTTTAAAAGGGTCAGGCAAAGAAGAAACCTAGTGCTTGTGCAATAGGAACTGCCATACAATTAGAAAGCAACGTATAATCACCCTTAGTATTATCATGGAGGTAGAAAAACTACCTCCATGGTATAATATAATAGTCCTACTCTCCAAGCAGATGTTGGTGGGGAAGATGACTGGTTTTTTTTTGTCCGCCCCCCCCCCCAAAAAAAAGCCCAACTCGTAAGCCTGCTATTATATGTTGAAGATGTTACACTATGGGTGGGGTACACATAGAAATGGAGGAAAACTTAGGTAACGTGAACAATAGTTCTTTGCAACAAACCTGCAACATGATCGACCCAGTACTAGCCTTTGGTCAAGGTAGTCTATGAAATATTGGTTGTAACATTACTTTCAGTGGGAATCAAATTTTTTACCTTCCATATCTTCCTTATTCCAGAGTGTATGCCTTCGACCGTCTGCGCCAGGCCGGTGCGGTCATCACCACCTCAGAGAGCACCTTGCTGCAGCTGGTCGCCGACAAAAACCACCCCAAGTTCAAGGAGATTCAGGGACTCAT